GACTCACAGACTTCCAGGGGCACTCCGTGAGCAATGCCGGTTTCCTCGTCGTAGGCATTGAAGTAGTTCCTAAGCATGCTCAGCCACTTGAAAACCACTTCGACCTCCTTGCCCGAAAGCTGCGGCATGTCCGACGGAGCGTCTGATAGAGGTGGGAGCAGGATTGCGTCGATAGTGTTCAGGACCTCTTTCCACCCTTTAGTCAGCACTAGAAGAGATTCGCTCTCGCTCAGATTGCCTTTCAGGGTGGCTAGACATTCGTCAAGATAGTCAAGAAGTGGCAAGATAGCTCCTTCGATCTCCTGATCCGTAAGCTGGGCCGGCCTCTGTTTCTTCGGCAAGTCAGCTTGCACGGGCGGTATCGATGGTCCGTTGACATTGGTGCTAGCGAGCGCCTGAGCGTACAGTGCCTTCACATTGCCCAGCGCTTTGTCCAGATTGATGCCGCTGGTCCTGACGAGCGACTTCAGAACTTGCCGGGATAGGCACTGCCTGATGAAGATGCTCATCTGCGGAATGAGCCAAAGTTGCACCTCTCATCGGTCAGCAAGGAATGAGTCACTCTTTGCTCGCGAGAAAAGCTACCCACCTTGTCCACAATGATGCGAATCATGTCGCTTTCGCACCGCTTCAGCGATCGGAAAGCTCTTCCGAAGTGGAAGAGGATGTCATCCTTTTCACCTTCCATGCTGACTCTGGTGAGCAACTTGCCCTGAGTATCGAGATCCAACCAGAGCTCGTGGGCTAGATGATCGGCAAAGTATCTAGGATCTAACCTCAGGTAAGCTCTGCCACAAAGCACATGATCTCCGACCAGCTTCCGGTCCCATACAGTTGCGGCCAGCCACATTTGCTTTTCTACTGGAATGTCGAAAGCTTCGTCCCATCTTGGATCGGGCGTCTCGTAGATTGTACGGGTTTTGGCAATTTTGTTGCCCCTCTCGTCGCTCAAAGTAACGAAAGAATCGATACGCGCTGTAGCTGAAGAGGACTTGATCGGCTGAAGGTTCTCCCCCAGCACGAGTTTGATCGTGAAGATGTACCTATCTTGAGACTGCTTGTCCGGTACCCGAGGCCCCTGGGAGGTGATGATCCTAGCTTGCTCATCTGCGTCAATGCGTTGGTAGATCTTGTCGAGCAATGACCGTGCCGCTTCAATGTTGTTCAGCTTGACGCAAGACTGCCAAGAGAAAGCGATGCCCGCAATGAGCAAAAGGCGCCAAAAGACGAAGCGTTATCTGACTCACAGTGGGTTGGAAGTGGAAAGGCTCAACTCGCTTCTCGCCCTGCAGCGTCTGCTTGGCTTTGACCATCCACGCAGATTGCTTCGACTGTGCGTCCTGATCATCTGCCGTGCGTGGAAACATCTCTTCCATAAAGAGCTCCTCCACTCGATTGCAGTATTGCTCAATCGATCTGCTCACGGTCTTCGCCAGACTTGTCAGAAATCGAGCATTGCTGTAAGGGTCGGGCCAGTCCATGCTGGATATGAAGTCTAGTGGCTGTTGAAGAGCACCGAACAAGTCGTCTATTGATGAGCTGTGAACAGCTCCCTCGCTTTCGATGGGCTGAAACCGATCAGAGGAGATGGCATTGTTGACCCACTCGCCTGTCTTCTTCTCGGTCAGAGTCAGCCATTGGTGTATATGGGGCTCAAACCATTCGGAAAGCACGAAGGATAGCTCAAGATCGGGACAGAATGCTGCATGCATCCGTAGCAAGCCCTTCACCCTGCCATAGAGCGTGTAGACATCTTCGAACGGCAGAGCATTCCGGTCTCGCCGCGCATGGTCGACGATTTGCTGCTTCATCGAGTCCAAATCGTCGAGATACAGGCTGACTTGCTTTTCCAAGAGCAGCGAGACAGGGTCGACAGATCCTAGCACCGGTTCAGGGTACTTCCTGTCGATCTTCTTGGCTCCCTTCTCTACCCAATCCAAAAGCTGCACAAGTGGTACGATCTCGTTGTCCACA